TAAGCAGTGGTTCACAGGTTGGGTTCAGTTTTTTACATGATAGTTACCTGAACTCTAAAGGTTCATTTTCAACCAAGGGATTGGTTAGGTCAAACTAAGTTCTACTGAAGTTTATTCCACCAAAATTCCATTGAGAAAGAAATTGAACATGAGAAGAGATATTACAGGAAAGGAAAAACACCATGATCCAGTGAAAAACAAATGCACTAAGCAAGCAAAATCAATAGAAAGAAAAGAATAAGGCCATAAATTCGTGCCAAATGGATACTGATATCCAAGAAGAACTTCAGGAGACCTATAATACCGGCTCTGCAGAAGAAAAGACGAAAATGCACCTATAAGACCCTTCTGAGCACGATAATAATGAACAGTATGACAAGTGGTAGCTATGGATGGAAACCTGAATGTAGGAGTAGACAGTCCGATCTTCCATGCAAGCTGATCCAAAGTCAATTATTTTAATTTCTGCTGGCTTGACACTGTTATTATCAGGATAGAAATATCAAACTTCACTGAAAAAATAAGATATATTATAAGTTCCTAATCCAGACTAATTATGAAAAAGAAACCCACCTCGTGCACAGAAGAATATTTTCTGGCTTAAGATCACAATGTATTATTCCAGCATCTTTTAATAAAGCCAGTCCACGTAAAATCTATATAAAATCAAAAGATTAGGATGTAAGTCAAAAGACAATTGAAAACAGATGTCTACAGCTACTCCAATCATTATTCAACTCAAACCAAATTCAGCTATAAGCAAACTGCAAATACCTGTTTCGAGAACAGCTGGACAATGCTCAATGACAAACCCCTAAAATGATTTATCTTGATAAGCTCGTACCTAGATCAAGGGAAAAATGTCAATAACATGCTGCAAAAGAATTTATAAGGAATGCGCCGATATAAAGGTTAAAAGAAATTTACAAATGAAGAATCTTGTTTCATTGTAATACAATAAAATTACTTACAGATTTGTGTCAAGAAGTTCAAAACAAATGCACAAATGACGTTGATACACAAAGTAATCATAAATACGGACAATGTGATGCTTGTCTTCTGGATCATACTTTTTGTTTAACTGCAAAAGGCAAACAATGAAACAAAAACAATGATGTGTCACTACTGGTATTTCTAAATGAAGGATATATACAGCTGTAAGAAAACTTAATTACCGTTGTCAAAATAGAAACTTCAACCAGTGCCTGCTGATAGTAAGCAGGTTGGTTTTTAATTATCTTCACAGCAACAAAACTACTTGTTTCTGGAACCCAGCATTTAGCAACCTGCCCGAAAGTCCCATGACCAAGAACATCTTTGACAATATATCTACAGAAAATCATTGAAACATAAGTAAATGCTTCCTTCATTAAGCTTGATTTTAAATGATAATAGACCACCAGCAGTATTTTTTTTAACTTACTTTGACATATCCATGAACATACCAAATGCCTGAAACTTCATGAATAATATCTGCTCATTTTCTTTCTTTAGGTTTTTTTTTCCTTCTTTTTATATTTTTTTTTAATGGTCGGTTATCCTTTGTTTCTCATTATAGATAATATTTTTGAATTGCAATATCTAACAAGTTTGGTGCCTTATTAAGAGAAAAATAAAATTGATACCCCTGTAGCATAAGTAATATAGTATTGAACTATGCAAGCAAACAGCAACCATGTCCGCTCCGGATATGTATATAACATGAAATGTATTCATACTCAGAAAAGCTGTAAAATACAATTCGGTACATAGAAAAAAACCTTCAAAAAAGTTTTTGTTCTAAATCTACGCTAGTCACAACTAAAGCAAACTTGTTGGCAGCAAAACCCAACCAAACAAGCCAAAAAAAATTAACTAGTTCACATGTAGATGTACAGGCCACAATAGGTCACACAGTTTTGCTAAAATTTTCTCATGGTATTTTGACTCAACTACGACAATATCCAGCACATCAAAAAAGCAAGAGACACTAACCTAAAGTTAAAATTGGTTTCTTACATAATTAGTACGGTAACTGAATAATGGTTACAATTTTTCCCACAAGGAAACAACTTGCCAGACTAAGCCATGCCTGAAATAAGGTCAGGCTTGAGCTAGCATTTTACCTGTCAGTTATAGAGCCAATGCAGCCTCATCCTTACCCAGCCCCAACTCTTATCCCATTCTAAAAAACTCTACCTCAGTACCTGAAGCTGTTGAATACTAAACACAGACATTTTGCTGGGGTTGCAAAGAAAACAGAAACAAAAAAGTATTCTTTGTTGCTAGACGTAAGTAGCAACAGACCAGCTAAATAGATAGATTAAAATTTTAAAAATGAAACTCTTCAAGTAGGAGATGGATTAAGGGAGGAGCAACAGTTTGAATTTGTAAATTAATTAAAAAGAATGGTCAGTCAAGCTTGGCAAACCCAAAGATCCATATTTACACTGATGTACAACTAATTCTAACATGCCAAGATTCAAAGTTCACAAGCCAAAGACTAAGCAGGTGTTTGTCATGGTTTTGAGGAGCTAAAGGTCACATAAATGAGAAACAAATATGCACTTCAAAATGATCTGTATTTCTGACCCATCAAAGTCAAGACATAGTCCATTTTAGTCTAGCTATCAGCAAAAGCACAAATGAAATTTTTAGCAAAAGAAAAAGAACAACCGTCTTTATTCCACCATTAAGAAAATCTACAATCAAATGCGAGGTCAATTCACAAAGAAACTACAAGAAATGCTTCAAAAATTATAGTTCAACATCACGAGGAAAATCATAAAAAGTAGTAACAAACCTTCGCTGTGTTTCTAAATTGATCAAGACAAAGTTCACTGTTAGAATAAGATCTGAGTTCACATTGTCATAGCCATCATTGAGGACACCAACAGATGGGCTAGTCAAAAACCGCTTTGGGTTCAATTCTTCTGAATATTTAAATTGTGGGTTGCATATTTGGTACGTTTCAATTATTTCCTTTGTCAGTCTAGCCACCAACTGCACGGTTAAAGCTGCATGTCAGCACAAAGATTTGCCTGAAATGAATCTATGCACCCTGAAAGATTTCTCCTTTGCCATCTTTCTTTTTTTTTTTTGTTTTACTCTTTTACTTCTTGTTAGATGTAAAAGATATATAAAATCATATGAATAATCCAAGAAAGATCTATTTCGTATTTCATTTTCAGCAATATTCCAATATGTTTTTACAGTATAAATTCAGTGCTAATTATTTAGTGCTTAATCTTATAGTTTCTCAAACAGCATTCCATGTTCAGACATTAAAACATAAATGTCAATTCAAATGAGTTCTTGCAATAAGACATGAATAGAGCACATTTATACTCTAGGCAAAATAGAGGTATTTGACAATAGATCATTCAATGGCTAGAAGATCTATATTGGCAAGGGTAGTGTCAGGACAGAATTTAACAATTCAACATGTGAGTGAAAAACAAATAAGCGTCCATGCCCCATTGAGACTCATATTGTTCATGCCTTCATGGAGTCTCTTCTCCCTAGTTTAGCTTTCTTATAGACATCATAGATTTGTATGAATTGTATTGGCTAGTGGCTTGTCAGGGTAGATAGAACTTGGGATCAAAAATCAATTTGGTAATCTCACTTTGCTAGTATTAGTGTTGATACATTGCATTCTTCTATCTGTATCTAATTTGACCACCTACTTTGCTCAGGCATACAGACAAGGTGTGCATTATACTAACTGAAAAAAGTATAGCATTTCCTAGTCATGCTCACAGCTTTCTATGATATATTTGCAACAAGTGAAACATTAAGATTTACCCCCTGCAATGGAGATAGTAAGCGACTGTCTCTTCTGGCCTCTACATTGCTCATATGTTTACTTGGTTTATAGGTATGCTTTCCTTATGCCACATAAACAGAATCAATAATCAAACCACAACTAAAACCAGCTGAACACCTCTTAATCCACACCAATTCAAACTCAAAGCAAATCAAAAGCTCCTGAATTTTCTACACATTTCAATATGCCAACTACCCAGAAAACTTTTGAACTAAAAATGAACAGACAATTAGAAAAGAGAACTTACAGGCCTTCTGACAACAACACGTAGCTTTCTATCAACTTCATTTTTAGCTGAATAAGGCCCAAAAACCAGCTGCCTCGGCTGCCACCGCACAGCAGAACCTTCATCTGAGCCCAATTCTGAGGCCCCCTGGGGCTCTCCTTGATTACTAGGATCAACCTCATCCATAACTATCCTCCAAAAAAAGACTCAACCTTTTCTAACCCCAAAATTTACGATTATCCGCAATAGCTCCATTAAAACAGAAACCACTCAAAACATTATAAAAGCAAGAAAAACCCCAAGTTTGATCAGCAATTGAATTGCAATTTTGAAGTTAAGATTGAAACTTCAGTGATTTTTCAAGGAACCCACCAGCTGACTCCAATCCCATTCTTTATTTTTTTCATTTTTAATTCTCTTATTCACAGTCTAAAAAGAGAAGAATCAGAAAATTGGAAGTCCAGGTGGATCCACAGATGATTAAGAAAAACACAAATTTTAATTAAAAAAGATTGAATCTTTTCTATAGATTATAAATAAAAACCATACAATAAAAAAAAGACAAATTGGATTAAAAAAATTGACCCAAAACTTAGATTGGAAAGAAGAAACGCAACAAAGAAAGATCAAAAGATGAAGAAACGAGAGAGAAAGTGTTTTCTTTTAGAGATAGAAGGAGTTTTTGGTCTGAGGACAAGGGCACCGTGTTTCTTTCTTCCTCCAAATGGGATTTTTTTTCCTTTTTAGATTTGTTCTTTTTATACAGGACTGTGGGATTGAAACTCTGTACAGTGCATTTCCCTTTTTATTTTATTAAATAATTAATTTTATTTAATTTTGTAAATTTTCTTTAGATTTCATGCCTTTATTGGTATGTTACAAATTTATTTTTTTTTATTATTTGAAGTTTTTTAGTTTTGGAAAGTGGTAAATTGAAAACTTTTTAAAATAAAATTATGAGTTAATAATTGTAAATTTGAAGGGAAATGCTAAGGCCATTCACTTCATAAGAATTGACTGCCTTGTGGAATTCATTAAATTTTTTTTAGGCCTGAAAATTGAGCATGTAAAATATTTAATAATTGGGTAAAGAGTGAAAATGTTTTTGACATGATTTCGATCAGAAATATATAAAAAAATAATTTTATAATAGTGTTGCATGTACGGTTTTTAATTGGGTATCGAATTTAAATACATCAGTTTTTTTGCCAAAATCTATATATAGTTTGTTGACATAAGAACAAGAATTTAAAAGAAGCCCAAACAAAGAACACTTCCTACCGCCTAGGAAGCTTAAAAGTTAGAGGTCGTACAATTCCTAATCAATCATTCAACAAGCAACATCAATGCCTTTTAGGCTAAAGCTTATGTTACGTCCCGTGTGAGCATCGTTGAGGTCAAGAGGGAATTTTCCGCCTAAGGCCGCAGGGTTACTCGGCTTTAGACCAAAGCTGGTGACAATTGACACTTACAACACCCTGGAATCAGACTGCCATTTAGGATCGAAGAAAGGGCACTCAGCCACTGACTACCGAGCTTAATAACAGTGAAAATGAATCAATGTCAATCAATACCTCTAACACTTGATAAGCCTAGATTGACCATACAACTGCAATCAATATTAAGCTTTCCTGCAAGCGAGTGTAAGGATCTGATCTACCAAAACTTCTTCAAATAATTCCGTCTTTCTGGTAGAAATCTATTAGTACTGAGACTACATCCTACAGCCGGAGGAGTTATCAGATAGGCAAGTTGAGTCAAAATCCCAAATACAGCATGCTTTGTGAACAGAGACCAACTCGCCAGAGAATTCCAGAAAGTTGCTCCTATGTTATTAAACACAAAGAATCCATAGAAAAGAAGAATGAAAGAAATGACCCTCAGGCTACTCCTTATTATCTAATGACGCTACATTCCATGCCAATAAATGCAAACATACCTTCTAACGAGAATTCATGTGTGCTTCATTGGAGACTAATGTTTGGTCATTGGAAACTTTGCTTCACTTATATATCTAAAATAAATAGTAAACTATAACAGATTCCACATGATGGGATTACAGATATATAATGTGTATATACACAACATAAGCTGCCAGACTATACTACATGTAAAGCAACATACAAGGGCAACACTAGCTGAAAGATCTACAGAACACCACAAAAAGTGATATTGTTACAAGTTAGTACTGTCTTGGGTACATACAATAAATCAAACTAGCTTACAAGCCTCATAATATCATAATGGAAAGTCCATAAGAATTAGTAGCACTGGAAAACCATGTCAATATATTTTTACTGCTAGCAACCAAAAAAAAAAGTATATTTTTAGTGCTGAAAACTAATAATAACTTACATCTTCATGAACAAAAAGCATTTCACAATCAAGTTGCTTACTAAATGCAAGTTAAAGGCTGGTTGTCTTTGTCCCACCCATTGGCAGCAGGGGTCCAATAGAGGATGAATATTGTTGAAACTGAAATCACAAAACCATTTGGACCAATTTCAGTTCAAGAGTTTCAAAAATTCAAGCCTTCTTATATCAACTAAAACAAACTAATATTCAAATATACAGTGAACTCCGCATAAGACAACACAGATGAAGTTAGCTCAACAACAACAACAACAACAACAATAATAATAATAGTTTAAATTATACATATGCTTCTAGATGGCCAGATTTTGAAATCTCACATCCTCCATAACATTGAAAGAAAATTCATTTATTAACAATTCTTTTTTTTCTGATAAATTTATTTATTAATGGTTCTTTTATAACTAAATCAACCTTTTCTGATAATCCTAGTTTTACAAGATTTTATACAGGTTGAATGAACCAAAGAACAAATATTTAATTTTTATGATAAGCATACACAGAAAAACAGATTCAAGGTTAAAATAGCACTATAATACCTGTTTTACAATCTCTTCACATTTACTAATTAACTGCTGCACTTTAGCAGCTCCAGATTCTTTTACCATACTGGTCTTTAATGTTATGGAGTCCACCTGTTAAGTTTAAGAAATACAAAAGGGGAATTTAGAGGTTAAGCAACTTCAGGTAGAGAGTAGAGACAACTTGGCACCATATAGAATAAAAAGACATGAGGATTACCTCTGTCACCATATCTTCAACCTTCCTTTGCCTTGCTTCCAGCTGGTGCCGCTTAGATTCCACCTCCAACTTCACATCATTCAAATTTTTAGTAGATTCCTCAAACTTGAGATCTCTTTCTTTCTGTAACTGACTTTGGAGTTCTTCCAACTGTTCAACTGGTGAAAGAATAAAGCTAAAGTCTTAAGCACTTATGTAGTGGTTTATAAATGGACAATAACACGACATAGCTTGAACAAGAACCTGCCTTTTCCTTGCCGTTCAATCAGTTTAGCCTCAAGCGACTTGTCTAACACAGCATCATCACTTAACTTAGCTTTCAAACCCTTACATTCTTTTTCAACTGATTTTGCAGAATTCGCCTATTAAAATGAAAAATGTTAGAAACAAATGTGTTTTGCATAACGAGTAGTTCACACGCAAAGTAAATTGGTTAGCATTCAAAAATCAAAACCGTTCCTTCTAAGAGAAAAACTTAGTTATAACAACTGAAATATATTTGAAAATTCCAAATAGGTTTCTTTCCTTTTTTTTTTTTTTTGGAGAAAGGGGGAAGGAGATTTTGTTCCACAATTGACAAGCCACAATAGACATAAAAGCAGAGCAGAAAAGACATTGCCACTCAATTTCAGAGCAAAAGCACAAAAGGGAAGTGGCAAACTATCTGTGTACCTGTTCATGTATAGCTTGCATCAAGGCAAAGTGCTTTGACATTTTCTTAAGAGTCTGTAACAACACTCAAGGATATCAAAAATTAGTTTTCCTTCTTTTCACCCAAATGAAATTCCTCATGTATGCATGTTGACTAGATGCATATGCATTTTAATACTTTTCCAGATATTTAGCTTTCTGAATAAACCGGTATAGTTGGCTCTTGTGATTTATAATTAACTAGCAATATTTCTTTCTGCTATTTGAGCTATGTTTGTCATCTTTGTTTAATAAACAAAAGTGTACTATGTCTTTATTCTCATCATGCAACCCAGTTGCTAATGATATGTGAGAGGAAAAAAGGTGCTTGCTTTGATTGCTAACAAATACACAAAATTCAGATTTAACAGTATGAAAGAATATATAAACAAGCTTTCTAAGGGAAAATCTAAGGGTTTGACGGCCTAATGATAGATCAATCTGTTCATAACTCAAGTCTATGCATGCAAACATCCATACATCTCTGCTCATATTGTATCTGCAATTTTAAATCTGGGATCACTAAGTTCCACCAATTGAAGAACAATAGGCTAAATAAAACTGGTTCCTAAGGCCTAAGTCCCAACAGCATCCAATCTTATTGGAGCAATACATGATTCTAGATTTTTCCAACAATACAGGACACAAAAGCCAAAAAATGAAGCAAGAAGTTCGGCAACAGCATATTATTGAGCACTTCAAGGACGAAGATATGAACAGCAGGGATCTTGGACAAAAGATGAGGTATGCAATTGTTAAACTTCCACATGAAACAGATAAATGAGCATTCTACTACTATTAAGGTTATGAAATTAAGAACCTTTTAGTGATACATTTCTATATCATATGTTGGAATGCATTTAAACAATTATGATCAAGCATATTAAACTCTCATAGCAAGAATGACAATAAGAGTCTAACAGTTTGACACCTGCTATCGCAGTTTATGACAAGAAGCATACCTTGCTATAGACCTCAACAATGGCAGTCTTCTCCTGAAAAGACTGCATAGCCAACCTTTCAGCATTCTTTGCCTCATCTCGAGCTAATTTCTTCTCCTCTAAAGCTCTCTTTCGGGAAAAAAATGTAATGAATGGAACATAGAGATTAATGTTTTAGTGCAAAAAAGGAAAGTCATACCATCCAAGAGGAGTGAATAACAAATGTAACTGTAATGTACATTAAATACTCTAATCAACATGGCAAGTTAAAGAGAAAAGTGACTTGGCACTATATTTACTTTGTCATAGAAAACTATGGAACAAAGAAAACAACTTTAAATACCGAGTGATGATCGTGGCACATGCCATATACCTGTATGCCTAAAAACAAAGTTAAATGAAAACTGAATTTTCGCATACTAGATAAAATGTACAAGTATAGACACTTCCACTTGAAAGGATGCAATCAGAAACAAAAAGTGCCAAATCTGACATGCAAGTATTCCATGGTTCTAACAAAGATGAAAATAAAGATTAAATAAAAAGTATGAGGAACGAAAGTAATCACAAATAACAGGGCTTGAGAAAATCACCTACAACCCAAAAAGGAAAAGAAACTCATCTAAAATTTTAGAATTGCATGTAATGTTTGATGCCAACAATGATACAGTAATGCAAAGGTGACTTCAGGTTTAAAAATTAAAAGGCAGGAATTTGATAGCAAACAAATAAATCAGGGTATACATGCATACATATGCTAACAGAATAATTAAATTTTCAGTGGAACAAGATTCTATTTTATGCTCTTCTATTCAAGTTAGATGCCCTAGTCAAGCATGTCAAATACCATTTTAGTCACAACAACGAGGACAGCTGCATCTAATGCGTGTCAGTTTAAGCTAGCTGTCTTAGACAATGCATACCAATTTAGATCCATGGACTTAATTACAGGATCACAGGCCAAACAAATTCACATTCACCTCCCCAATTAGAGGATACTATCTTGAATAGCAATGCAGTCTTTCAATCTCAACAATTTATGAATGTTTACTTTAGTGAGAGGCTAAATAGGAATATTTGAGAAGCATCAGGAAAACAAGCAATAAGAATAGTTATTTATCAATTAAATAACTTTTCTCCATCATTAGTCGGTGAGAAGATGTTTTGGAAACTCATACACCAGCTTACTCTGGTTTTAAACATAATCACTAAAAGTAGTTAATTAGGGTAGGATTTAAACATAATGGTTTCACATACGATTAAAGAACTTGTAAATTATGGAAGAAAAAATGTTTTCTACAATTAACTTTTCTTGCACCTGTTTTAACCTTGTTATTTGATGTCAAATCTGTAAATTAAAAATTAATTGTATGGTTTTAAAAGACCACCCAAGTGAATGACATAAAACTAGTTCCACTGTAGAAATCAATAACTAGTTGGAATTTCCCAAATCCCAAGATAAAAAGAGTAATTACATAATATCACCTGCACAAAAATAAATAACTAAATCATATCTTATCTAATCTAATATACATACATAAAAACATAAACCGCAAATAACTAAACTCTCCATTCTTACTTACAAGCATTCCAATACTAGAAAAGTATCATTGGCCTATATGCTTGGTTTATCAGAATCACTAACAATAATGCTTTACATATATTAGCCCTAATCACCTAAGTGAAACTTATTAAGAAGGAATGTGCACCTGTAGTTTATCTGGTGACTGAACTATTTTTGAACGTAGATTTGCATTTTCTTGGACACTTTGTACCAGTTCAAACTCAGCCTTAGAAATCTGTAAAGAGAGGGCATGTCAACACAAACAGCAATAATAAATAGTGCTAATGCTTAAAGAGGGGAAAATATAATGCACATATAAAAGCAAAAATCATGGTGAACCTAAAAGTTTAAACATTTTTTGGAAAAACAAAATCGACATTAGGATCAAATGGTGGTCTAACCAGAAAAGAGAGAAGATCCTCTACACAAATAAAGATCACAGAGTATGCATCTCAGCATTTTGAAAGGAACTAGATCAAACACTACTATGAAAAATCCTTTAGGTTCAAAGACATGGGGCACTAGGTGAAAATATATAGACAACAACCAGCATAAAATTCTTTAGTTAATCACAATTTATAGACACATCTAAATTTAAGCACATTCTATGGTTGAATCTTTGAGTATAAATATTTTCCCCAATGACAAAAACTAGCAAAAACTTTAATTTGAAAAACATATATATGTTAACTCTCCTCACAAAATTGAGCACTTGCCCCTATGTCTACATCAGTGAAATAAAGCTTTTGTAAAGAGCCACTGATAACATTCAAACCTTCTCATCCATTTGGCCTGTCTTCTCCTTCAAATTCCGAAAAGAAGTTCTCAATGACATCTGATTACTGTTGAGGCCAGCAATCATCTCACGCAATTCTTTAACTTTTGAGTCTACCTCTTGAACAAGGGGTAACTCCCTTTCTCTTGCTTCACTATAACCTGCAATCTCTGCATTCAACTGCATGGCAGAGATATGGTGAAAATTGATCTTTATGCTAAAGCATCACAAGTATTTCTTCATATACCTGAGAAATCTTAGCCTCCCACTCCTTATGCTGCTCATCTAGAAGGGCTAGTTCCTCTACAATCGGTCTCAGAAGATTCATTTTTGTTTCTCTGAGATGGAAATCAACAAATAGAATACCTTAATGCTTAAAAGGCTGGAAAATATTGGAAAACTGATTAACTGAAATTTACTGTGCCAAAATGTTAGTTGAGAACCAGAGTTTCTCATAAAAGGCAATCAGAGAAAAGGACTAATCTAAAAGAAATGGGATTAAAAAATATATACCAAGAAAAACTGTTATATTGGTCACTAGATGCACTGCCACTAGCCCATATCTAAATCCACTCCAATGGTTGTCATGTAGGCTCTCAACTTAACCAAATCACAGCTTTCATACCAAAGAGCATTAGTGTTAAAGAATCTAAACAAGGGAAAGGCTTTTATATGGGTCATCAGGGAACATTGTCCATAACTTTTCTCTCTTAATTGCAGCTTGTTATTTGTTTGATAACCACCAAAAAGTTCTGCTCTAACCCATAAAGACCATAAAGCAAAACCAAGTCAGACTGTAAGGAGGCAAGGTGTGGACAACATGGCTTCTGAATCCCATCTGTCATCTCTCAACCGTTAATGTATGGTTTAAAAACCAAGCAATCTAAATTACAACTTAAAATATCATGCCTGACATCGTTAATCGTCATATAACAGAATGCTATATCAATAATCCCAACAAATCCCAACTCAACACATCATTTAAACTTTGCCATGCCATTTACAAGGATCCACTATTTAGTTTAAAATTATGAACCTGGTTATGCTTTATGCTGACATTGCAAATTTAAATAAACATGTCACATCTTGATAAGTCGAACCTACAACTAACCTATGTAATAATTTTTTGTTTCTAAACCTAACCATTAAATGGCATAACAATTTAATCCCACATTTTCCAATTTTTACGCAAGGAAATTCAAGTAAAACAAAATAAAAACATTTTAAAGTGAGAAAATACGTACTTATAAAGACAAAAATTGATGATTCCGCTGAGGAAATGCTCCGTCCGACCAGCATCAGGTTTAACCAAATCCCTAAGGTTAAATTGCATTGGACAATTAAGAGAAGCCATCACCTCCCTTAACCTGCAATACAAATTCATAACCTGGAATGACCCAATTAGAAGATCCGGGTTCTCAATTTGCTCTAATGCTGAAAACTCAACTTGCCCTTGGTCTTCCCTGCAGAAAAATATAATATGATTAATATATAATTATTATTTAAAAAAAGGAGAGGACATTGCTTTTATGGGGAAATGAGCAGACTCGTGGAGAGCATCGAGGTAGATAAGGAGGCGGGTGTAGAGATTGGAGACGAAATTGGGTTTCATATTCTTGAAATCGTTGTCGGTGACGGTGGCGATTTGTGACTCCGCCAGGATTGATATTATGTCGCCACGGGAGAGTATGGGGTAATCGAATGACGACATTGTTTTGTCTGCGAATTCGAGTGGTTGGTGGCCGAGAAAGTGAGGAAAAAATTATAAAATTAGAAGTGGAAAACTGAAAAGGGAAATTAATTGGCTAAAAAAGAAAAAGGAAAGATAGGATAGTGAATATCTTTCCCGCCCAAGATAAATTTAAGCTTATAAAGGACTTCTTTTTCGGTGCGCAAGAAAGGAAAATTTTTTAATCTCGGCCAGAAGCTATAGTAAAATAAACTAGGGAATTCACATGCAGATTTATTCAGTTATTTATGGACCGACCAACAAGTCAGGTTCATGGGCTTAGTCCAATTCAAATCGAATTTTGAGTAAAACTTTTAAGTTCAGGCTTTAGGCTTGATTTAATTCACGATATTATCTTATTAAATTTATGATTGATTCGAATAATATTTAGAGAGTATTTGATTCACGAAATTTTAAATTTAAAAAAAGAATTTTGATTTTCAAAAAAGTGTGGATTCTTGATAAGAGATGATTTTTCATAGCATGTAACTGTTAGATTCCTATATTTGATTGAAAGGAAAGTTTGATTATTTAATTAAATATTTTTATTATAATATTTTTCAATACATAATAAACATAACATAAACATAACGTATTTGTCAAAAAAAAATAATTCACAACTAATGCACTTCAAATCCTAGAAATACAATATTCAAGTAGCCAATTATTAATAAAAAAGAATAATCAATTTTTGCGTTTTGTTCATACATGAAATGTAGGAAATAATTCACAATTATTGCATTTCAAAACCTAGAAAAATAGTATTCAAGTGAAAAATAAAAAATATATATATCAAAATTTAATATTACATTTAGCTTCTAGGATACGCAATAAATAATTCACAATTACTACGTTTCAAAGATTCAAAATGTAGTACATTTTAAGTGAAAAATTTAAAAAAAAATTACTTACTCAAATATTACATTTAGCTTCAAAAAAATGCAGTAAATAATCACAATTATTGTGTTTTAAAGCCTCCAAATGCAATAATCGAGTGGGAAAAAAAAAGTACTCAAATATTATAATTAACTTCAAAGAAACATAATATTTGTACTTTATTTATAATCTTTAATAGAGACCTAAAATCGATTTTATGCTCCATAGGATAAACCTTAAACTCCAAAACCCTTGGTCGAAGAATTTCTTTTCGCTTTGTAACCATTGTCCCTACCGTCACCACCGTTATTCCCTTCACCATCAATTGAAGCCACCAATTAGATTATTACTAAAACCAATTTTTTAAATAATATTCTTGCAATATTATTTTGATATTTAAGATTTGGGTATTATGTTTTTTTAATTATTTTGATTGCTATGATTGACATGGCTAGTTTTAGATAAGAAGGTGGCTGAGATGCATTCAATTTTTTACCTTCAAACTCAAATTTATTATTTCCATCCATTAAAGAGGCTTCGTTATTTTACAAGACATTAAGAGTTGGCTAAATGCATTCTAATTCTAACATTCACACATAACATTATTGTTTCCAGCCATCGTAGATGCTTCATTTTCTCGTGAATTCACATTAACAATTGGTTGAGAATTAAAATTTGATTTCTGATCTTCAAACATAATGTTATTATTTACAACCATCATAGATCTTTCATTTTTCTGCGAATTCACATTAATAGTTGGCTGAGAATTAGCATTTGACTTTTTATCTTTAAACATAATATTATTGTTTCCAACCATCCTAGATGTTATATTTTCCTGTTAATTGACATTAACAATTGGTTGAGAATTAAAATTCAATTTTTGATCTTCAAACATAATATTATTGTTTCTAGACATCCTAAATACTCTATTTTCTTGTGAATTCACATTAACAATTGGTTGAGAATTAGCATTTGATTACTATTGGTTCCAACCATTGAAAATGCATCATTATTCTGTGCTATAACAATTGTAGGTTGAGTTTCATTATTATTACTCTCTTCTTCATCCTATCTATTCTTTTACTTTTTCATGTATATCTTGCACAAAATTCAATCATCCAACTACAACATAAAATTACATTACTTTAGAAAATATATGTATTTTATGCTAATCTAATTCTATATTTAAATTTGTATAGATTAGTTGATATTATAACTTCTAAAAAACACATATCTACCTTTACCGAACATAAAGAAAAATATTTAGTTAACACATATTCAAAAAAAAAAAAGGGGGACATGATAAGTTACTTGAAGTAATTGGGAAAAAAATACATATTGTGTTCAATGCGGATGGACAGTTTATGTTAAGTGGTGCATTAAAAATGGCTAGCTATATTGGATGTCTCATCTGACAAATAATATCTATTAACTACAACAGTTAAAGAAATGTTCTAAATTCAAATGACCATGTATGAGATATGATTGTGGTAAGTTATAATAATCAAATTGAAACTTATTAATCATTTATGTTTATTGTTTATGGAATGTAATTATGCTTAGTTGCTCACATCCTTTAATTTAATCTGTCATAGGAATGCTTTAACATCCCAGTTGAGTACAAGAAGGTTGTGTTGCAATTTATTAGGCTAAAATATAGAGACTTTAAAAATATATTGACAATAAAATATATTTTATCTTATGCTGACAATGCTGAACTGTTTGCTCATCTCTCAACCACATATTCAAATGTTATTAGTGATACAAAGTGAACAAAGTTTGTTTCAACTCGTCTATCATATAAATTTAGCGTATGCATAGCAATCTTCTTTTGTTTTTATAATACATTGTTGAAAATTATATGTTTATTCATTTGTTATTGATTTTATTTTTTGCAAAAAATAAAAGAAGCCTATAAAAAAATACAGGCAAAAAAAGTGTATAACCATTGAGCATTGCAAAAAGGTATGCAAATATCAAGCATGAACTTGTACGTATTTTAACTAGTTATTATACATATGTTTTAGGAAATTCATTTACAATGAAGTAGCCAACTTATATTTTTATATGATTTTAAGAAACATTCATCTCAAGCAATGAAATATCAAGATGGGATGTTTGAAAAAAGCACATATGTCAAAATCTAAAAAACTATAAGAATGAAGCAACTAAATAAATGGCTAAAAAGATTGTAAGTTCATATTATATTTATATCTCATTTGCTACTTCGCCATTTATGCATGTTAATATATTGTGTTTATTTATGTTTGCATATTGTGTTTTAGGACAAAATTGCAATGAGATTCAGATCTGATGAAATTCTAACCAGTGATGGTAAAGATGTGATGACCTTAGCTTTCTATTCAAAAGACATATATGATCGTGTTATAGGGGTTAGGAGCTTTGTTTCTCTAGCATCGTATTTCAAAACTCAACCTAAACCCTCGCACTTTTAAAATTACTAAATATATAGCTATAGCTAAGCGGTAATACTAACGAATTACTGAATTTGAAGCACAATTGGCAACAATGCAAACTAACACGATGGATAAGTCATTTACTGGCAATGTCATAAATGAATTCATGGATGAAGCTTTTGACCAATCTTCATCTCCAATAATACACATTCTAAACTTTTATCATTCAATTATTTAAGTTTTATAATTTAATTTTATATGCAAATATTTGATTTTTGAATGTAATAGGTTTTTTAGCCTCAAATAATCCTAAATCCACTGGCGAAATCTAGTATGCCTATGTTATCCAATTATACGCGTCAACATTTACTAAAAGGATCGATCATTAATATCAATCTCGATGATAGACTAGTTGATTATCTCTCGACATCGTGGATTAGGCAATAAGAGATTCTTAAATTTTGTGAAATGAATAAGATATTAGTTACTAAAATAGTGACGTACATAAGGCTAACTTATTCATTCATTTAAATATATAATGAATGTATTTTCATGTCTTGTGTATGATGGTATGATAATAGATCTTTTTTTTTTGTCATGTAGCCTCTTTTACATAGGTTGAATGAGAGACAAATGACTGATATCTACAGATTCGTTGACCCAAATCATATCAGTTATGGTGTTGGCTTTGTCTATGCTTATGCAAATGCTTTGACATCTATAATGAAAAAAGAGTCCTAATACTTTCTAGCACCTTATAATCTTACGTATGTATTCATTGTTTACTTTGCTAGTTACTTGACTATATTTGATAGTTAAATTTTTTTAATTATTAAGCATCATATTCTAAAATTGGAGATATGATTGTGATTTGCAAGGGTCATTGGCAATTAGTTATCATTGAGTATGCACATTTACAATTTACTTTTTCAACTTAGGAAAAGAAAGATTGAAGCTTAAACCTGAGCTTGTCAATAAAATAAAGAGATATTCATCTTTGTTATGTGAACTATTTTTTGTTATGTTTATGGTTTATTTATGAATGTAATTTATGTTTACAAGTTCTTTTATGTTGTTTCAATAGATTGTCGATCCATGATAAAAATAAAAGATTAAATTAGAGTACATTTTCGATAAGTGTCAAATATAGTAGTTTCTTTATTTGTTTAAAAAGCATTTTGATTACTCAACAATTTTTAACAAGTTCCTCATCAACCAGGAACGACAGAATATAAATATTATGTCTTTTTATTTCTTTGAAGATATCGATTTATTAATGATTTTGTAAGAACACTAGATAAAGTTAGCATAAATTTAAACTATGGATACCTGTTTTTATTTATTGTAATTATGAAATGCAAATTTAATGACATTCATTCATTATTTTTTTTTTTTCATAATGGGCTCAAAAAGGAACAATTCATGTAAGAGAAAATTGATGAAATTTGTCATGAATGGTGAATCTAGGTATCTATATCTGTAAAGTGAAGACTGATGACACCGAGTTATTTTCATATTTTTCTTTATATAAATTTATAAATTTAATTATAAAACTCCAATTCATTGTACTATATATAATTTCATATTTTTTCAATAATAAAATTCAATACATGTTTAATTTATACAAACAGTGCATTGTATCATATATACAAGTCAAAATTGTATCATTTACACAAGTCCAAATTTGTTCAATTTATACGAATCGATAATTTTGCAAAAAAATTTTATAACTTGACAATAAAAAAATAAAATATAAAATGCCAATGTAACTTAACAATTTAACATAATGCCAATGTAATTATAATTATAAACAGATATGATCCATTACAATATATAATTATAATATTAAAGCTGTCTACCATATTGAAAATATGTCTCAACAATACAAAACATTATGATTGTTGTCAAGAATACAA